AAGAGCCAACATAGACACAATCCTTTCCATCGCATTTACCCATCCTTTCTTCATATCCTGTACTTTACTCCTTTGTTTCCTTTTAAAACCTAATAAGGATTCTGCCTCAATCATCGCTTCCAGCATCACATTCCATATTCTAACCATACTGTGAGTGGAAATGTCCTGTCGGCATCCACCACAACAGTCCCCGAGGAACAGGAAACTTCTTTGATGAATAAGAAAAATTTTCCGCTTGCGTCTTCCTAAAAGAACAGGCTATATGCAGATAGTGTGGTGATTCCCTGGTCGTCTAAACATTGTTGGACATCGGTGAGTCTTCGCTAGTCAATATAGTCTTCGATAATCAATAAATATATATATACCATTTTCAAATGTATGGGACTTACCTCGTTCACATAGAGCACCGCCGTAACTTGGCAAACAGACACAATTGAAGCAGTTAATGCCATCGATGCACGTGGCTCCATTACGACAGGGGTTTGACTGGCATTCATCAATATCTGGAAAAAAATGGAAGAGGATTTTTGTTCAGTGATTAATTGCTTTCACTACCACTACATTTTGACCACCACAAAGCAAAGCAGTAAATATGGATCTTGATTTCCTTCTTCAAAGAGCAGTGCAGGAAGTGGCTTGTTTGGTGGTTTCATCCAATTTCCTGAAACTTTGAGGCAGCAGAATTATTAAGCCAGAAAGGCACTACAGTACTCAAGCTTTCCGAGTGTATATGTTTATGTGACCGTGGACCACTTATGTGTTGTATTAACTGTATTATCCGTTCTGCAACGTATGTTTTGTGAAATTCAGAGCTAGTGAATCCTGAATCCCAAGTTGTTTGGAAAAGAGCTGATAAGCAAATGGGAAATTCTCAATCTAGTTCTTATTTTGAATCCCTCTCCATTTCTGAAGGTGAAAACTCCAACTGGGGTATGATCAGGAGAACGGATAGGCAGCCTGAATCCAAGCTTTTCCAAATCTCACGTGAAACAACAACAACTTGCATTTATATTGTGTCCTTCACCAATTACAAGGAGACATAATTATGGAAGCGAAATCATTCAGGGTTCCTGATCTAGTTGATCGTCACCTGTTGAACATTGCAGAGAGATGAAGGGGTGTGGAAAACTGGTGAGGACTGAATCATCCTTTGCTGTGATGCTCACAGAGCCCAAACCACTCAAATAGCTTGCAAGTGCTCACTGACAAGGGTCACACGTCAATTGGATGACGCATTGCAAGATGAATGGAAACTATTGAACCATTTCTCCCATAAAAGAAAAATGTCTTCCATGAGGGAGACCACAACTGATAACTTTACACCTTTTATTTGAGGTGTGCTAAACTAACAACACTACATGCTGTGATGTGAATCATGTCCCTAGGACAGGTTCTGCAGCACCATTTCTAACGAGTGAATAAGGTTGGACTCTGAAAATCAGACAAGAGAGGATACTTCTGGGAATATTAGTAGAACATGCTATAAATTGATTGAAATATTTTCCCCACGTTTTATTCGAAACAGCACCTAAAATTCTCGTAAGGGCACATTGCTCCCAAAACAGTGATTAAAATGATGACGTTACTATAAATTCCTACATTTGAAACAAATCCCCATATTTAAACAAGTTTGTATTGTTTGCTTGGTACAGTGGTCACCTCTGTCCTTACCTATTTCGCAATGAGCTCCAGTGAATCCTGGCACACAGGTGCAGATGTAGCCAGATTCACGTAGGTAGCAACTGCCTCCATGCTGGCACGGGTTTTCTTCACATAGGTTAATTTTAACTGTAAAAAAACAACATTGTGAGCTGCACAATAATATTATTGCCTTTCAGCCCACAGACAGACAGAATCATTGCTGCCAACCATTGCTTTTAAATGTTTTAAATGCAGGAAGTAAAAAAATTTAGTTATAGTTAGTAATATGATGTGATAATGATCACTAGTGATAACAGAGCTCATTTAGAATCCGTCATTTTCCACAGTCTTTGTAAAGAACAACCTTCCAATTTAGGACTGAATTGAAGGGAGGGAGGGAGGGAGAATTTATTTTTTAAGATATCTCTGATACAAATGATACCTTTATACTATATTTACCAGAGCATTTCTAACATACAATGGTGAGTCGCCATTTTAGTACAGAAGATTGGAGGAAGGAATTGTCTTGAAGGAATTACCTGTTACGTGAACCGTCTGACCATCATCAACATCAACAAGTTGTTCACCAGATTCGCTCTGCTCTGAACTATCAGATTCAGAGGCAGTCATGGAGTCGGTTGTCAAGGTTTCAGTAACAATCTTCAATGCTGTCTGGTTTCGGGTTTCAATTTCATTGCTAGTTAATTCAGATATTTCCTCAGAAGATGAAGTGGGTATTGAGAACATTGTTTCTTCTTCTTTTTGACTTTTATCAGTTATCAGTGACATTGTTGTATCACTGACATCTTCCCCAACAAACTGTTCCGGATCCTGTGAAGATCTTTCATGTAAAAAGGACAATGTTGCTGTAGCTTCGAGTGGTTCTGTAACATTCTTTTCAGCCTTGTGTTCGATCGTTGGCCGGAGGGTTGTGGAGCTAACTAAAGTCTCTTTAGAGATTTCAACATGTACTACTCGTGGTAGAGAAGTCTCTTCTTCTCGAAGTATGGGGTCCCGAGGACCTGACAGTGTACCTCTAACCTGTTCGTGAGCAGTTTCCTCAGGCTCTTTTGTTGAAAATCTATATTCTGTAGTTGGATGGAGGGTTTCTTGAGATGCTTGGTCAAAAAACCCATTGACATCAACAGTTGGTCCAATAAGTATCCGATCTGATTCTTCTTTTGTGGAAACACTGAAAGAAAATGCTGTTGATGGCAAGCTTTTCAGTTCCTTCGATATGGTTGGTTGGACTGTTGGAATTTTCACAATCTCTTCCACATGCTTACTTTCAAGTTCAGACTTTTGTGTGACATTATGGTCTTCATACTCAGTGCGTCGTGTGAAGCTAAAATTGCTGAAAGAACCTTCCGTTGGTAACTGTGTAGAACTTGAAACTTGCTCTTCGGAAGAATACACAACAGGTGAAGCTGCTTCTGTTGGTAAACGTTCTGGGTGAGTTACTTTGGAGACCAGCAAGAATGAAGACTCTGTAGAAGACTCAGCTTTGTCAGGCAACTGGGTAAGTACTACATCTTCGGGAATTAAAACTGTACCTTCAGAAACTTCCTGTAGAGGTGAGCTGGATCCTTCAATGTCTTTATCATGTTGTACTGTGGAGTGGATGTAGCCCTCAGATGGCAGAACACTTACATACTCCTTTTGCTCATCAACCATCTCATATGTAATTGATTTTTCTGAAGCTGTACTCATTCCAGTTAAATCCCCCAAAGAAGTCTGAGCTGTGGATGCACCTGAAAGGGCGTGTGGCACCTCAGTTGTTTCAACAGAGAGAATAGGTTCTGTGGAGATGTCTGCAGGCTTGTGTGATAAAGGTTTGGTTGTAGATGACAGGACAGCCTCCTTCTCACTCTCCTTTTCAATTAAATCTACAGCTGGATCAAGTGGTCTTTTTTGTTTAGGTCTTAGCGTGCTTAAAAGAGTTGAAGAAATATCTCCAGATCCATCAATTTCCTCCTCACGTGCATCACTGAAGGCTTCAGTGGCAATGTACGTCACTGCCTCAGGTTGAACAATTTTGATTTGTTCTGTAACACTATGCAATGAAAAATGTGTTGAAGGTGGGTCAACAGTTTTCACTTCAATCTCTTCATCCATTTTTCTTTTCAGTTCCTTGTCAGCATCAATAATACCAGCTGATATTGTGGGAGCTCCAAATTTCTGTTCCTCCATAATACTGATGCCACTCCCTTTGCCATTAATGTAAATGACACTGATGTTTTGAGTTATAAGAGTAGCATCTGTAATTTGATCGTCTGGCAGTTGATCATCTTCCTCATCAAAAACAATAGCCGGTGGTGCCGGTGACTTGCTAGAAGGCTTCACAGTTCCATCAGGAGCTGTTTCTAGTTCTGTTTTAATGATTGATGCCGTTTCATATTTTTTATGCTCCATTTGGCTGCTTGAAGTGCCATGAATTACTTCTTCGAAGGTGCTTGCTCCTTGGGACATCCACGGATCAGTGATCTCCTTTACTCTTTCTGTTGAAAGAGGCGTCTCAGTAGTTACAGACGGGGTCTCCTTCACATCAATATAGGGAATACTCTGTTCTTCTAGAACTCTGGTTGTCACTGGCACTACAGTCCCACTTATTTCTAAAGTCTGGTCCTTCGTAGTGTCTTTGCTTGCTGATTCAGTGCTAAATGTTTCTTCACCAGAACTCTCCATGTCTGAAAATGTAACATCTTTCAATGTACTTTTTTCTATTGGGATGAATTCTTCAGATGTTGAAGATTTTTCAAACGTTTCTGTGTGTGTTTCTTCTGGCAACTTTGTGCTCGTCTCTAGTGATGGAGTCACGTGTACTCTAGTTACTTCACTGAGAGCAGGTGTAACCATCGTATGGGGTATGCTTTCACCAATAGAAGTTCTAGTGCTTTTCATTTCTGAAGTGGGAATCTCCGTGACCAAATGAGCAATCTGCCTGATGCTAAACACTTCTTCACCTGAACTCTCCAAATCTGAGAGCAGTGAGATTTCAGATGCTAGAAGTGTCTTAGAAGATCCTGGATGTGCTTTTTCTGGAAATTTTCCCACCTCTGTGGTCGTCTTAGCAGTTTCAGATGTGGACAGGCCAGCCTTCCCAAACACTGCAGGCGCAGTAACTGCATGTCCAGCCCTCTCATCCATTGTTTCATTCTTATCAACCAAAGCAGGCGCATCTGTAAACGAGAAACTGACAGACTCTCTGCTGGATACTTCATTGAAATCCTCTACTTCTTTAAAAGTTGTAATTGTGCTTGATCCTTCTGTAGATTTTGTCGCAGGAACAGTGTTATAGTCACTGCCAAATCGCTTTACAGTTGTCGTGGTTGGAAAAATTCTATGTACAATATGCATTTTTACTTCCGTGCTTTTTTCTGAAGATGTCATTTCAATCTCTGAACTGCCAGACGATTCAACAAATGAATCAGCTGTTATTTGTTTTTCTGTATGTTTCTGAAAGTAAGTTGTTCTCCCATATCTACCTGGGCTTCCTCTGTTGTCATTAACTTGGAATCAGACGCAGTTTTGCCAGAAACCTCATCAGTTAAAAACAGTTTAGTTGAGGGCACTGAAGCCGTATCCACTTCAGTTGACTGAAGTGTTTGAAATGTAGAAACCTTCTTGTGTCTTTCTGTTGTCTTTACGATAACTGTGGCTGCTGTGGCTGAAGTTTCTTCCCTCAAAATCTGCGTAGTTACCATGCTGCTAGTTTCAAATCCTTCACCAGAGCTTTCAATGCCTTCTTCAACAAAAGGCTTTGCTACTATGTTATCATCAAATTCAGTAGACTGTAAATCTTCCAATTTCTTTGTTGGGACAGCAGTTTCCACTAGTGCTGAGAGTTCAGTCTGTTTGGTAGGTAACATCTTCGTTGTACTTGTTTCAGTGATGTAATTTTCAGTTCCCAGGGCCACAAAATCTTTTGGAGTTGCTGTGACAATCACAGGGAGCTCTTGCTTGTCTTCGAATGATTTGCTGACTGAGATTTCCTCAGACACCTTTCCAGCCTCTGCCGTTGGATGACCATTTTGTATGGATGATGGGATAAGAACAACTTCTTCACTGATATGTTCTACTGGTAGGACTTCTGTAGCCTGCAGGAATTTAACAACCGTTTCTGATGCTGTTTTGTCAGTGGGTATTATGACCAATTTCTCAGTTGGGACATCTGGCTCTTGTGTGGCATCAAACTCATTTCTAGTCAGTATTTGCGTCTGTTCATCACTGGGTTCTTCAGGGATATCTGTATCTTGCACTGCACTTATTGTGGGAGACACACTTTCTACCTGGTCTCCCTTTGCTTCTTCTCCTTTTCTGACCGGAGGTTCAAATTCCATTTGGCTCTTTCCATTAATAAACCTCAGTGCTGGAGGAACAGTCTGCGATGTGGGAATTTGTCCTGTTCCTCCACTGCCTTCTCCTCTTACGTCAATCTGAATGTAGACAAAGTGAATAGGACCCCCGGGAACTAATGCATCTGTCACCTCCTCATCGGGTGACTGAACATGGAATGAAGGCAAGGATTCTGTAGAAGTTATTCTGCCGTTTGCAATTTCTGCCCCAGACCCTTCCATTTCCAAACCTGAATGTAAATACAAATGAATAATGAAACATTGTGAAATCAAAAAAATTCAGCAATCAATAAATTGTAGATTAGCATAGAAGTGTCTGATATTAAAGCGGGACATTTCTTAGCCTCAATGGACAGGCTCTGCTCTGGATACGAGTTGGGTTGGTCTTAGCTTGCCTCAAATTATAGGAAAAATAAACTCAAATAAAAGACAAAATATATTTCTATTGGGCGATGAACACAAAGGAATTCTGAGTACCCTTTTCAACTGGAGATTATATAGAAGACATCACATATTTTCAGAGTATCCAGAATTGTTAAACACAGAGTTAATTTTGATGCTGTTTTTCTAAAAAATCTTTTAAGAACTACAGAAACTAGCTTGAAAGTGAAAACTGAATTCAACAAGTTCACAAATTCTGTCCCAACAATGAACGTGGGAAGAATATTTAACTGAACTTTCGCATCAAAGGCCACATGTATTGAAACAATTTCTGTGCCTCACAGAATTCAGCCTGAAAGAAGCATAAGGTGGTCCTGCTTGCTCTGTTTCTCTTATTTAGCCTGAGGGCATCTCCAATTCAGTTCAGTGTCTGGTCTCAAAATTGCCAACTCTATGATCTTAGCACAGCTGTGAAGAAAATTAAATGGTATTAGAAGAACGTCTGGCTCTCCAGGATAAAGAGGCAACATTGGCTAACATGACCATCACTGTGGATAATGACATGCTGCGTACACTGTGTAAAGAAGAATAGCTACAAATTGCATGTAATTACTTACTCATACCCTAGAGAGTAAGATCCCTTTTTGTTGACTGCAAGGTTAGTTGACAGTACAGTCAAATCTTTCTTTTAAGTTTTTTTCACCTCTAGTTTTCTTCTCTTCTCCCTTGAAGGCACTAAATCATCCTGACATAAGATTCCAAGGACACCGCATATCCTCTGATTCAAGTGGCCATTCTTATGTGTAAGGGCTAGCAGGCTTTCAATTGCCAGCGTCACTGTCAATTCTACCTTCAACTGTCATAGGACACATGTGAGCTTTCTAACGAGGGTTGCTGGATGACGTTCTGGAGTGAGAATCCAGGCTGATTTTTTCCTTCCCAGCCCAGGGGCACTGGGATCAATTGCAGTCTCCCAAAAGATGATTATTATCTCAGCACGAACTAGGAATCAAAATTGGCACATTCCAGGTCTATACAACACAGTTTCTTTATCAACTGAATTACAAGGGAACAGACGCATATGTAGGTTGTTCTCTAAAATAAGCACTTTGCCATTAAATATTTATTATGAGAAATCCCATGATAAAGATAAACAAAAATGATTTATATTGTTACTGAGACCAGAATGCAGCAGCCACTATCAGGTAGTTCTAATCCAAGCATTGTCCATAAATAGTCCTAAGATTGTGAAGACTATCGAAAAATTCTTACATTTCATCGCAACTTTTAAACCTCTTTTCCATGGATCTTAAAAAGAGCTACTACAGGAGCTTGGGGCTGTGCCTTTGTGCATTTTATTAGGCTTTTGGGGGCTGGTGCCACCATGAATCGGCTCCATTTCTTTTTCCATGAAAATCCTGAGCTCTTTCGAGGAGCCAATCCACCACTGTATCAGACCTAAGATCTTCCCAATATCTTCTTCAGCATACCAAATACCATCAAAATATTGCCAAATGCCATCAAAATGTTACCAAATACCATCAAAATGTTACCAAATACCATTAACTTGCACTTAAATAGCGCTCTGCTCGCAGAGCAGCGTCTCAGAGCGCTTAAGGGTGGTGGAGTCTGATGCCGAGCCGGGGTGGAGAGTATATGCTACAAATCACAAAATCTATTTGAAACAAATCTATTTTTGAAAATTATTTCTGATAATGTTGCTTAAGTTGCAGAATGAATTGTTCAATGTGCTCTGAAATCAAAATCTGCCTTTAGTTTATATAAATTCTGATCTATGGCTAATATTTCTTGGTAATCTAAGATGCACCTTGATCGGGATTCAACTGTACTCTACATCAGACAAAGTTACATGTCTTAAATAAGTACACTGCTTTTCTGGGCTTTGTTTTGTTATTCCTGACAGATTTCCTCTGTCTGTTGTTTATTCATTTCGATCCATTAACAAAACTAATTACTAGTTAATACTGAAAGGTAAAATTAAATAGCTCTACAAATCTACAGAACTGTCAAATAAACTAAAATATTGCAACCTTTTTTACATTTTTGATCTTGGCTCAAATATGCTGCTAAAGACTTCAAAATAACAATTTAATTAGGAGGGAATGGGGAGGAAAAGAGAAGCGGAGAGAATCAGAAGAGAGAGAGAAATCGTCATAGAGGCACATTTTGATTTTATTCCAGGTTCAGCGCATTTTCTCATTGCATTGCAAGTATGCTGCTTGTGGAACCAAAATGTGGGTCAAAGCTGCTAATTGTGGGTTAGTTGAAAACTCTCGAGTCAGCAATGTTGTGACTAATGTAATCTCACAGAAATATTTCAATTCATACCAATGAGACAGCTGATGGAAAATGAAAGCCTACACTGGCATCCCACCTGATCAAGGTCACACCAAGGTTTGAGGCCCACTCTTGTTAGATCTCCCTTCAGAACGTCAAGTACAATCCAAGATTGGAGTCTGGGAGTCCGAGTGGAAAGATAGTTGATGTAGTATATATCTTGTATATGTCTAATATATGTTTTGTAAATGTCTTGCTGACATTTCTTGGCAACACACAATACTGCATGAGTCTTTCCCCTTTGTTATATTTTCAGGCTGTCTTACTAAAATAATTTGGTTCTTTCTGTAATGCCACTGGAATTCCAGCCATCCAATGGACAGCTGAACATGTGTGGATCGAACACTGAAGAGACTTCATGGAGAATAATCCTGAATAGACGAGGGGATAAGAGGAGCAAGAGAGATTCAAAACAAAGGATTAAAGCAAAAAAAAATTCTATTCTGCCAATAGGAATTTCGTGAGAAACAATGAGTTCAATTATACATTGACATGTTATCAATGTCAGGTGAGCTTTGCAGGTGAGAATTTCTTTGTGGATCACTGCTCTGTAATCTATATCCTCTTTTTACCCCATGGCTATCTTTTTGCTAAATGAATATTCCAGGGAACACTCATGAAAATATGAGATGTCACCCTGGCTCAGTTGGTAGCATTCTTGCCTCTGAGTAAGAAGATTGTGGGTTGAAACCCTACATTAGGACTTTGAATTTGCAAACTGGAGACGTGCTGCATTGTCGGAAGAGCCATCTTTCCGGTGAGATGTTAAACAGAGGTCTCATCAGTCTGTTCCGGTGGCATTAAAGATCCTATGTCTCTATTCAAAAGAGACAGGAGTTTCTCCCTGTGACCTGGATAACAATGCCCCAAATAAAATTGGTCACTCACTTCAAGGGTGTTTGTAGGAGATTGCTGGGTGCAAATTGGCTGCAGGGTTCACTTACACTGCAGTAAATCTTGTGTAGTACTTTGCAACATCTTCCTGACGTGAAAGCCGCTATACCAAATTCAAGGATTTTTTTTACTATTGGAAATCATATTTGTATGTCATATCCTGCAGCTGTTGTTTCTTAAAGGCCAAAAATACCAGTTTAAAATTTACCCTTAATTTTTTTTATTGTCAAATAATGGGTTAATAGTGCCATGGGATCTTTGACATCCAGATCCCAAGCAAGACAGGGCTTCAGTTTAACATCTCATCCAAAGGACAGCACCTCCAACAATGCACACTCCCAGGACTACATTGGAATGTCAGCTTAGACTATGTGATTCCAAGTCCCAAAGTGGGGCTTGAACCCACACCCACCTGACCCAGAGGTGATAAAGCTACCAATTGAGCCAACTGACACACAAAGGGAATTTCTTCTAATGTCCTGGCCAAAAAGTTGGTCACTCAATCTACAATCTCCCAAAAATAAAAAATGGTCATTCAATTTGTGGTTGTTTGTGGGTCATTGCTGTGTGCAAATTGGCCGCTGTGTTTCCCATAAAAATACACAGCCGCACTTTACAGTATGTCCTGTGAAGCGCTTTGGGTGTCATCCCACTGTGAAATTAATTATACCAAATAAGGATTATCAATATTATTTTATTATTGTATTTTTAATTTCCCCAATGACTACTGCTCAGCAGGTTGCACAGGGGAGAGGAGTGTTTTCATTGTCAGCCTTTCTTCAGTTTGTTTTTGGAGCATTATCATGCGTATGATTGATATACTGTGATGTAGAGGTTTGAAAGCTGAGTTGAGTACATCCCACATCAATGCTGTACTCCCCACTGATGGTGCATAGCCACTATTGCACACTATATTGACCTCTCAGCGGGCAGCACTTCCATATTTGTTCATCAAGAAAAAATCAGCATAAATTGTCGCAAGCGAGACGACCTGGGTTCAATTCCCGGGCAGGGCAAAACCTTAGGCAAGTTTCCTTACTCTGCACGCCTCTGTTTACCTAGCGGTAAGTAGGAACCCGATTGTTAGTCAATTGGCAGATCGCTTTTCCGGGGGTAATAATCCCTTCAAAATCAATTTAAAAAGTAAAAATGTTGAATTATTGTTTTTAAAAATTTGGTCACTCAATCTACAACTGTTTGTGGGACACTGCTGTGCTCAATTGGCTTACGTTTCGCCCACAAATCTACTGCCGATTCACTTTACAGTATATTCTGTGAAGCGCTTTGAGACATCTTGAAGACATAAGATCATATATCAAATGCAAGGATTATTATTATGATTATTATTCCTGAACATAGAAGTAAATAATAGTTTCTGCCTGTTCAGAGAAAATATTGTGGATTGGCAAATATTTTGCACTCCTGTGCAATTCTTTCTGCTTTTTGAATATATACAGTTGAAAGTAGAATGAAAATATAAGATACCACGGTGAAAATTGTCATATTTCTTGAAAATTTCAATGAGATAATGGCAATAATTTTTTCAATCCTTTTCAGTTGCCTTTCTCACACACTCATTCCTTTATTCCTCATCCCT